AGACCAAGTCCGAGCGTCAGTGGTTCGTCGACGCTTTGAATTCCGTTCAGATCGAGTCTCCCGATGGCTCCTCTCCGACGGCTCCCGTCACGCCCTCGCCGACGAACCCCGATTTCTTGTTCGGATTCGATAAGGGATACACGGCTGTGCCGGTTCCGAAATTTCCCGACTCGGTCACTCCGCCGACGGTTCCCGATTCGCTTGTGAAAAGCACTCTGGTTGGATCTCAGGATCGCCACACCGGAGAACCGGTGATATCTCCGGCGGAGATTCAGAGGCAGATTCAGGAGTTGCAGAGGTTGCAAATCGCTGCCAGTCACGAGCCGACCACCATATATCACCGGAAAAGCGACGAAATGGGAAACCCTAGGGGTTACACCGGCGATTATTACACACAGAAACTTCCAGACAACATTCAACCGGCGCAAGGATCGTCTCCGGTGGCAATGCCACCACCTATGCAATTTTCAACTGCGTATATGCCAGAGAGGCACATGAACACTGGGGGTTATCCGGTGACGGCTACCCCATCTGGACCGGAGCAGCCCGTTTATCTCATTTCGACTCCGACCGGTGTGTACCAGGCTCCCGCTCCTAGACCGGCAACTGGACCAGTTGGTCAGGCATACTATGGAGTACCGCAGAGGATGGCGCCGGAGGTGTACCGGGACGCTCAGGCGTACAATAATGCAGTGGCAGCACAGCAAGCACAACAAGTTCAGCAAGCTCAGCAAGCACAACAAGGTCAGCAAGCTCAGCAAGCACAACATGCTCTGCAGGCACACCAAGTTCAGCAGGCGCAACAGGCTCAGCAGGCGCAACAGGCTCAGCAGGCACTACAAGCTCAGCAAGCACTACAGGCTCAGCAGGCACAACAGGCACAACAGGCACAACAGGCAAAGATTACAGCTTATAGTGAAGGGTTTGCACCGGTTGGGTATGACGCCGTCGGGAGGCAGGTATACTACACTGCAGCTGGAGGTGTCGTTTCTTCATACCAGACGGTGGCTCCGGTGGCTGTAGATGCAAGACAAGCTGCTACTGGTGTACTGAATCAAATTCAAGACGGTAAAGTTGTTGTTTCCATGGCACCCCAAGCGTCTGCTAATTGACAAAAATAAATAATAAATTCATATATAATGTGTTTGTTGTTTTGTCTTCTAATGGTTCTATAGTTTAAATAAGAGGAAATAAGAATTTAATTGTATTGCTTTGTGGTGGATACGGCTCTCTGGTTTTGAAATTGGAACCTTTTGGGTTGTTCTGGTATGACAATTCACATTGTTTCTTGTGTATATGAGCACTTGTTTTGGTGCAAATTATTGCGTCTCCTTGGATTTTAGTTGGTCTTGAATTTCTTCGAGCCTTTTGCGTAACATGTAGCTGCTTTGGTTACCTGAAAAGTTGTTTAGTGTATCGATATAACTGTCTTATTCTTTATCTTGTCCTTTGGATTGGTAGTAAAAGACTACAAACACATGTGACAAGAAGAGGGATAAAGATGGTCGAAATATTTTAGGTGTTAAGTTGAATGATGCATATATTTGTAGATCATTTCAAGTTAGATAAGGGTGTTGCAGGTGTGGTTGGATCTGTTCTATTATAAATTGTTATCAAATGCAGCAATGTCTAGTGTTCAAAGCCTTCGCCTAGTGCCGTATGTAGGCTGCTGGCCGCAATTATGATTAATTTCTAGGCGTTTAAAAAAAAAAGAAATGGTGTCCGACTAGACTCGCCTAGGCACTCGTTTAGATCGCGAGTCTCACTTAGGCAGAAAATAGATAATCTTCATTTTGCATTTTATTTTGTCAATAAATTGTAAGAGACTTGTAAGACTTGGATGAACGCTTAGTATATGCTTGTTCTCAATGCTTGCAATATGATTTAATACTTTATAATTTATATATCGTTCTATTTTGCAATCCTATCTAGACCCCGCCTAGACGCAATATGTTTGGTGGGCTGGTTAAGATAGGTTGTGAGCAATTAAAATGGACTTGACTCCAGTCCTTTGTTTGTTATGTCAAAATGTGAGATGAACATGACTGGACATAATGAGTAATAAATCCATAACAAAGTGGGTTATCTCACATATCCTTATACATGAGTTACAAATCCTCTGTTAATGCAAATGAAGTAATTGTTTTCTGTGTGTTTGGTCAATGATGAAGTTCTTCTCCAGGCTGGTTTTCATGTGTATTGGAGGAATTTATGTTAGCGTCTAGACTGTAGTTGAATACTGCTTGATAGCTCAATTATATACAATACATAAGTGTGTCGTGACCATGATTTAAAATATCCATAATATTTCTATCAAAATTTTCGTGTTTTTGGACTACCGATATTTCCGATATCATCAATATTTTAAACCTTGCTAAGTCACTCATGTATTTTACCATGTAATGTATAAAGTGTAAAATATTGTACTAATTCATTATATATAAATGATTATGGTGTGTTTAAACTTCTTTCATTAATTATTACATATTTTCTACACTCACAATGTTTGCCAGCTCGCTATATAATCAACTTAAATCAGTTATATCTATCATGCAATGCATTTCCTTCCAATTTTTTGTGATAAACTAATAGATAAACATCCTGCAAAGTTTTAATAAAAATTTTCAAGTTTTTCTTATAATTTCTATGGTTTTTATTCAATTTTTATCGACATCGATAATATTTTGATATTTTCATCGAAATTTTCGTGTTTTTAGACTACTGATATGTCCGATATCATCGATATTTAATACTTTGGTCCTGATAAGTTGGATAGAGTGCGCTGCTGTTTTGGTGGTATCTGCGTCGTATTTTATATGCTGTCTTAATGTAAATTATTGGTTTATGTTTGTGTTTTTTTTAATGTTGGTCATTGAATTGAAAGTAGTGTGGAGTAAAAGATTAAAAATACACGAATGGTGTGCTTTAGCTTTTTCGTGTAAAACGAGTTGCTCATTTGGTCACCAAGAATGGTGACAAGTAACAAGGATTAAAGATAATATCATTGATGTTAAGTTTAATGTTTGTAGCTCGATTGTGATAAGCATTGTGAGCGACTGTGGCGGCGATATTCTTGCGAGCACTGGTGGGATATGAGGAATGTTATTCATACCATGTTTTTGTATCACATTTCTGTATCATTTTAGGTGGCATCTGATGTGGACAATCACATCATTTGAAAAATTTGCAAAACCCAAGGAAATGAAAGAGAAAGACTCATCGTATATCACATCATCATTTAATTAATTAGTTCTTAATTATTAGTTTATTAAATAATAAACTAAATTTAAAAATCTGATTAATTCAAATGATGTGACTGTCCATGTCAAATAACACCTAAGATGGTATGAAAATGTGGTACAAAAATATGGTATGAATAACATTACTCGTGAGATATATGTTATTTTGTGAGTATAGCACTCGTCACGTGACTAGACAAGTTGTTGCCACTATGGTGGGATTTGCATGGATGGATATAACTATTTCAAATTTAGCCGTCGAGCGATTTGATGTGGTAAGCACCCGCTTAGGTTGCAACTCACTTAGACAGAAAATACATAACTTTCATTTTGCATTTTGTTTTTTTCCAATAAATTGTAAGAGACTTGTTGCATACTTGAATGAACAAACATTATATTCTTATTTCACATGTTTTCATTATGTTCCAATACTTCATGATATATATGCATTCTATTTTGTAGTTTATGATGAAATTATATATATTTCAAGTAGAAGCAGACACTTATTTACATGAAATATGATAAATTTACTTAAATCCGCCTAGGCGCTAGGCCCCAACTCGCCGCCCGACTAGCGCCTAACGACTTTTAGAACCTTGGCTGTAGTTCTATTCTATTGCAAAATTGCTATGAAAAGGAACTGCAATTTTCTTTAAAAAAAAACAAAAAAACAAAAAAACAAAAAAACAAAAAAAAAAAAAAAAAAAAAAACGAAAAATAAACGAAAAAGAAAGGGAGATGCATAACGTACAGGAGCTGCAACTTGTACGTTACGTAGAGTTTAAATATGGATGTGTTATTCACACACCCAATTTTACTTCTCACACACTTCTTGTTATTTTTTGTCCGTTGATTTTATTCAATTCATCCGATCCGACGGCCGAAAATCAAAAAAATGTGGAAGAAGTAAAAAATGATGTATGGATATCACTCCTTTAAATAATAGGAAGAATACTCATTTTCCACCTTAGCTTTTGTACTTCTGATTTTGTCTGCCACTGTCATCCAAGTGGACTTTATTATGTTTATTATCATTATTCTAGAGGGGAGACTAGATTCTTCAATCCGGGATTTAGAGGGTACGGGTATATCGTTATGGTGATGTCTTATTTTAATAAAATAAAAATGTGTATAACTTTTATTCACATATCCATATTTCATTTATACGGGTCGTCATGCGGTGGTGTATTATGTAAGTTGTTCTCCTCTTCCTCTATGAGCATCTGCATCCAAAAGTTGGTCAACGGACGTGAAAGAATATGAGAAATATATCACAATAATGGTGGTAATCGGAATGGAAAATAAATATATCAAATCAGAATATGATTAAGAATTGGATGCCTTTGATTTGCTGAATTTAGCGGCTAAAATGTACGACATAAATTATTTTGTTTTGTATCAAAGAATATAAACAAGGGGGTGAGTGTAGTGTGAAAATTGCTACTCCAAACGAAGATCTAGAAGGTTGTTTCCGTGTTCCTTTGTTGTAATGAGGTTATGTGTTTCAAAAATGGCCGTCACTTGGTACTTCCATGAGACAAAATTGATTGACAATCCATCCGAAGTGAAAAAAATTACGAAAATTTGACAAGACAGTTCTGATGCAACCATGTTATGTTTTACCATGCAAAAGAGCTTCATCCTAAATTATTATTATTATTATTATTATTATTATTATTATTATTTTATACGAGCGATATTGGACGGGAGAAATTATATCTAAGACTTCCGTGTGCATGCTTGTATTTACTAGAAACCAAATAGAGAGAATAAAATTTTATTGAATTATTTTCTGATACATTGCATTGATTACGGCTGAAAGTAGACTTGTAGGATGAGGTTTGCGTCTGATTTATTTTGGATATAGGTATAGCATATCTAGCCATTTTCTGATTTATATCCCAAACCGGGCACTCCTGCAGCCGCCGCCACAACCACCACCACAATTTCCTCCACCACCGCCACCGCATCCGCTACCGCATCCACCACCGCATCCACCACAAGCTCCACTATTTGCTATATTTTTACCACCACATCCACCACCGCATCCACCACAAGCACCACTATTTGCCATATTTTCACCACCACACTGGCTACCACAGTTACCACCGCCCCCACCACATCTGTTTGCCTTGTCTTCACCACCATATGGTGATGGAATCGGAGTAGTTGAAGAGAGAGCAATGCGTATGCTGATGGGCTTTGAACCCGGACCTGCAGAATTCGGTGTCAACTCAAACCACTTCTCCACTTGCAGTTTAGAAACTGGGTTGAGGAGGTCATCTAAAGTGAATGATGAAGTTCCCAACAGTATAGGAGTCTTTGACATTGACAGAGTCGAAGGGGAATATGACATAAGCTCGAATACAAGCTCTCCCGCAGGTTCGCATTGAACAACAGACACCGCTTTCTGCTCTGATTCTGAAGAAATGTTTATCCTTTTTCCAGTCTTGAAGAACACGTCTGGCTGTTTCTTACTAAAGGTGACAAAGAGGCTGCCTTTATGCCCGGTTGGTAAGTCTTTGACCGCCACGATTTCCAGCATAACCTGAATGTGAATCAGGAAGCAGAAAAGGTAAAACCTTAAAGTTTGACAAGGAAACAACTTGTGGTAGAAAACCACCCGGGATGGTAACCAGTGTGTCTTTCTTGCAACTCACGTAATGAAAGAATGTGGGAGATGAAGACATTGGAATCTACCTCTACAAACGTTGTCTTTGGAAGTTGAATAATATTCTTGTTCCGATCAGATTGAACAACCTTCTTTCTCCCTGTTTGTATTTGTAGTTGGCTGAGATAGGTGGGGAGCGGAGATGGAGCACTGCCTCTGTACATTGCTCCTGCTCTCCAGTACCTTGAACCGAACATCTCTTCCCATTGCTTGGCGGTCTCAGAAAAACCGACATCTAGCTTTTGACCCTTGGTTCGGTCAGAATCTGTGTCATCATGCTCTAACACCTTGCCCATTATTGCCACAAGATCTTTACAGTAAGAAGCAGGATGCAATTGGTGGGAGTGCCAGATGAGGTCAATGTCATAAGTTGGAACACAAAAGCGCGTAATAGACCTCTCCCTATTTCTCTTGATCAAATGCAAAAACCCTTTGTATCTGTCCACAGCTCCCTCGAGAAAGAGGTTGTCATTCATGTAAGATCTCGACACCTGTTTGTACATGTCGCAGTTATTGAGCAAAAGTTTGGATAGGATAACAAATTTCAGATGACATCTCTGTTCCGTTACCTGGTAAAAGAAAGGAATCTGCCTTCTGACAGCCGATGCTAGATTATACTTTGTGCTTTCGGAAGTTGCATAATAATTTTTGGCACTGCCATGTGACAGGCAGCTACTCATATCGAGCTCATATGGCTCTTCAGGATATAGTTTGATCCAAATTTCTTCTGTTTTCTTTTTGCAGGTTCCCTGAACGGAGGATACAATGTTGTGCTTCACAAGGATTCTTCCGTAGAGATTTGCGCAATCAGTGACATAACGCACCTGAAAAACCAACAAAGAAATGCAGGTTGGGATGATTGTGAAAGAATTTGAAGAACTATGTGTGAGTTTTAATCCATGAAGTTGTCTACCGGATTGAGCCTGTGACAATGCCAAATCCATTCGCAATCAAGAGGCACGACGAGAGGACCTTCTGAAACCTCAGATTCAGCATACTTGGCAAGTAAGGGAAGCCAACAATATTTGTACCTGAAATTTCCAAAGTTGACAAACAAAATACCCACATTTAAGCATTCTGATTATTTTAGTTTCTTTTTCTTGAATTACTAATCTGATTTTCCATTGGAACATAATGTTGCCAGAAGAAGGTTCTAGCTGTTAAAAATCGCTGGTTAACCTGCACTGCATACCGATAAATGGCCTTGTACAAAGCAGGACCGTCATAGAGATGCTGGTTTCGATCAACAACCGCTAGAAACTGCAGCTGCTGTTTAGCTGCAGCCACAAGGTCTTTGCTTATCACAATCTTTTGTGCTTCGGCCCACTCTCGTTCTTGCTTCATCTCCATTCCTCACTGAAAGAACAAGAAAAATGAGGTATTTAGCTGGAAATGACAGATTAAACTCTGCTCCTACAAGGTTCTTGAATTCTCTTTGTCAATGTCATGTGTTTAGGGGGCTGCTTTGAGTTGACCTTTATAGGGTCGAATGTTCGATGGAATGCCATCTGGATTCTGGAACGGTGTCTCTTCATCGAGGGAGATACTGACGTACTCAAACGTGTGACCACTAACCAGGGAGCATGGCACAACGGCTGTTTAGCCTCCTTCCTGCCTTGTGTCATTTGTGTGATCACTGAACCTCACTCACTCACTCACTCACTCACTCATACATATAGCATTTTTCCTTAAAATCTACGGTTTTGGTGGGAATTTTATTGTTTTAAGTGCTCACAACTTGTGTGTGAAGTCCATCAAAATAATATTTCTTTTATGTTAACTCTTACAAACTTGTAAGTGGGAGGTCTTATATTTGACCCTCTTGAATGACAAGTTCGATACCAAATTATGACCGACCCATTGTGTGGCTTAATCCAAAACATCCCCCGTCAAGTGTCAAAGCTTGATTTTTTAACCAAAGTTATTTTTAATCAGATTCTGATATAATTTCAGTTACATGGTTCATTAGTTGATTCCTTGTGCAACCATATTATGCAACCACGCAAGCTCGGATACCAGTTGTTCGAGCAGACATCTCTCACTTCCTCTCAAACTCGAAGTATAGGGTTTTTGTCCCAAAGAATCTCGGTGCAATTTATGAACAGTTCCTTTTCCGATGTGGGACAATGGTTCTGTCAGTACAAACTACGAATTCTCTCATTGACATAATTCAAGGAATGATAAAGGACGCAGGAAAAATTTCCAGCAACGCTAGTTTATGAAATAGAAGGATGACATACTACAATTCCACAGAAAACTTGGTTTGAGGATCTTCTTGTTCTTCATATAGTAAACTGATCGATCGTCTTCTACATTGTCTCAATGGAAGAAAAGAAAAAGAAAGTTCCTCTCAACATTCATACATTTAAACGGGGAACCATTCTCTGGCTACTGAAGATGCTCAGACTCATCATCAGATTCTTCATATAGATTCTCTTAGTTCTTCTTCCATTTAGCATGAGAGTCTCCTCAGAAATTGCAAAATTTTAACTCTCTGAAAGGTTAGATTTTATTTACTTTGTAGAGAAGCTAATACATACATGAGGTAAGAAAATTCCAAAAGTGTTCATCTTATTTATGCTGAGGTAAGAAAAAATGCATAGATGTGAGTTCGTTCAGTTATGATCATCAAATGCTTAGATGTGAGTTCGGTTAGTTAGTGTAAAACTTAAAGAACTTGGGGTTTTCACTTCAATTGCATACCCATTTCAACGATGGGATGCATATGTATATAGTACTTTCAGATTACAACCAGGGCATTGAAAACCCTATCTACAAGGAAAGTTTGTAATTCAAAAATATGCAACGTAAGCCAACTCAGCGTGTACACACTTAGACCATCTCCAACCCTGACCTAAAACCTAAAAATATTTAGCCCATAAAGTTTAGGTTTTAGCCCAGAAATAGCTTTTCTACTCCAACCCTTTTAGCCTAAAATTTGAGCCCCAGATTCTCAAAAAATGAACTAAGTGTTGTAAACATTCCTAGTTTAAGTATGATTGTGTAAATCCTAGATAAGATTTGATTCTAGTTATCCTTTCCTATTACAACTTGTATTACTTGGAGGAGAAGGAATATTTTCTCTCCCTTTACTACTATAAATAAAGGCACAATGTAGGAGGGATAACAACACACACATTCCCCTACAATTCTACAAACACACATCTCTCTCCTCTCTCTCTCTGCCGCCGGCCCTAGTCCCTCTGTCAGATAAAATAGACCACAACACGTTATCAGCACGCTCCTACCGCTGCGCTTAGGAATCTGACGTTGGAGATTTTTTTTTCTGCATCAAACCAGTTCATCCATATCATCACGCAATCAGGTTCTTTCCAAACAACGGCTTTTAACTCGATATTTTGCAAGCCCTGATAGCATGAACATTCACCATGATGCATGATCCAACTTTACGTTTAACGTATTTTAGATTCTACATAAATTGTGTATGCTTCATAATCAAAATTGCTACAATTATGTGAATTTGATATTTGCCATGAATTGAATCTTACATATGTACATGCATTGAAACTATTATTTGCATATGCATCAACGTAAATATGTGATTCATTAAAATTATACATGCATATAATATAATTGAATTAAAAAAAAATAAAAAAAAAATTTTTAGGGCTGCACACAGCAGCCCATTCCCCTCTTCTCACCCCGTGGGCCTGTAATCCCACCCGAGGGTTCTTGGCCTATATTTTTAGGCCCCGAGATTTTATTATTTAATTTTTTTTTTTTAAATAATATGGGTTTTTATATTTTCACCCACACTTTAATTTGGCCCCGAAGACCAAAAATAAATTAATTCACTTATCATTATACAATATTTCTGCATATATTCTTTGCATATTTGTTTGCATATATATTTGTGTTTGCCTGCAGGAATATATGAACCTGAAGTTCATAATTACTTTTGTTGATGCACAAAACCGGAGGTCTTGGAACAACGTAAATCCGACCGTGGATCTGCATGAAATGTAAATGACACAAGAGTTATCGTGGTTCACCCCAAGGTTTGGGCTACGTCCACACTGATTGTATTGTATTTCTTTGAGAAGTGAGGGAGAGAGAGAGCTCTGAGAGAGAGCGTTGAGAGGGTGAGAGAGGGGATCTCAGGCCTAGGAATTGGCCTCCGAGGGTGAGAATAAGGCCTCTCCAATTGTGAGGGTGAGGGGTCCTTTTATAGAATAAGGACTCCTCACTTATTACATATTTGCCCCTTCCTTTATCCCATAATTACATTTAAGTCCCCTGAGTATTTGTACGAGATCTAAATACGAGGCCCTAAATATGGTATAAACAGTAGTCCCCTAAGTCTTCAGTCAAGAGAGTCTTTTGGCTGGAGACTTGAAATTCAGTCCATGTGTGGGCCGAAGTAACTAGATGTCGTCTTGAACTGGTACTTGATATGAGGCAGTGCCTAATCTGAAATGACGCTCAACTAGAAGTAGCACACGCTGCGAGGCTGCTCGGCTTGTGGCTTATGTTGCCTTGGTTGGCTCAACTTGTGGTGTTGAAGGTGAGGGAGTCCCTTTTATAGAATAAGGGCTCGCTCCTCAATACATGAATGATGGGCTAGAGTTGATGCTCTCTAATGATGGTGAGGGAGTCCCTTTTATAGAATAAGGGCTCGCTCCTCAATACATAAGTGATGGGCTAGGAGTGATGTTTGCAGCAAGGCAGTTGCTCAGCTGGCGGCGTTGCTCTCTAATGAAGGTAAGGGAGTCCCTTTTATAAAATAAGGGTTCACTCCTCAGTACATGAATAATGGGTGCTCTCTAATGAAAGTGAGGGATTCCCTTTTATAGAATAAGGGCCCACTCCTCAATACATAAGTGATGGGCTAGAGTCCCCCAAGTATTTTTCATGAGTGCTCTCTAAAAGTGAAGGAGTCCCTTTTATAGAATAAGGGCTCGCTCCTCAATACATAAGTGATGGGCTAGAGTCTCCCAAGTATTTTTTATGAGGCCCAGTTGAGGCCCAATATATGGTACATAATGTAGTCCCCCAAGTCTTCGGTCAATAGAGTCTGTTGGCTGGAGACTTCAAATTGAATCCATGTATGGGCCGAAGTGGCGGTTGTTAGGAGGCGATATTTGTATACCTTGCACTGAAGCTTTGTAGGTGAAGCTTTGCAAGTGAAGCTTTGAAGCTAGAGCTCTGTAAATGAAGCTTTTGAAGCTAGAGCTCTGTAAATGAAGCTTTCGAAGCTAGAGCTCTGTAAATGAAGCTTTCGAAGCTGGAGCTTTTGTAAATGAAGCGTTTGAAGCTAATTGACATGAGTGATGCTCATGAATGTTTATGTTTGATTGACATGAGTGATGCTCATGGATGTTGACATGAGTGATGCTCATGAATGTTTATGTATGATTGGATGAGTAATGCTCATGAATGTTTATGTATGATTGACATGAGTAATGCTCATGGATGTTGACATGAGTGATGCTCATGAATGTTTATGTATGATTGGATGAGTAATGCTCATGAATGTTTATGTATGATTGACATGAGTAATGCTCATGTCTGATTTGAAGTACTGGGCGTACTTTTGATGACCTGGTTGGTGCTATTTTGGGCATATGGGTCTTCGCCCGCCCTCCACAACATGTCAGCCCATTTGTTTTGGGCTTTTCCTTTTTTTTTTTTTTTTTTTTTTTTTTTTTTTTTTTTTTTACCCTCTGATGGGGTTTATATATATTACCCTCTGAGCCCATTTGTTTTGGGCTTTTCCTTTTTTTTTTTTTTTTTTTTTTTTTTTTTTTTTTTTTTTTACCCTCTGATGGGGTTTATATATATTACCCTCTGATGGGGTTTATACAAATATCTTCGAAAGATACGAAACATAAATTACATCATTCTGGTGGGGTGTTTTTTCCTTGCTTTTGCAGTGTCCCCATGTGCCTCCTATTTGCTTTCGCCTTTGTTTTCTCTAAAATGATAGCTGCTTTGGACAGCCACCACCCTTTTGCTTTTATCTTTCTACTCCGAATTTATTACATCCACTTTCTCTGGTAGGATAACATCCTCCATGGAGCCCTCAATCATCTCATCCACTTTCTCCCTCTGCTTTTCAGTCTCCCACTTTATTTCCAAACATCCTTTTGCTTTTCTTGTGATTTTCTCATAAAAGTAGGTTTTTTCACAATTGTGATGAGGATGGAGCGAGCTGGTTGATGATTATCCTGTCACTTCACCCATCATCAGTGGCTGTCTTTTTTCTTTTTGAGTTGGTGGTCGACACATTAATTTGTCAGATAAAAAAAATTCTTATCTTCTTTCATCAACCTTCTCTGTCCACCACGACATTGAACCTCAGCTCCATGATATGAGTCATATCTGAAAAGCAACTTGGGATTGATTGTATGATCCAAAAGCAATGTCGTTTAAACTGTGTGAAGCTTGGCAGTGTGAACTGGATTGGAGAATCTGGGAGTTGAGGAGCTCTGAG